ACACCTTTGCCACTCGTTTGCCTACAAGACTGATTCTACAGTTAGGGTAATTTTACAGACGAGGAAACAGACTCAGAGAAGTGACCCATATCAGAGCCAGTAAGTGGTGGAGCCACAGGTACGACTCTAAAACCTAGAACTCTTAAATGTTCCGATAGCTTATGAAGCTCCTCAAAACCCCAAGGCCAATTTTTAATACTCAATTAGAAACCACTCGTCCGCTGGCAGGGCCAGGGATCTGAGGATGAGAGGCGCCCCAAGCCGGAGAACCTAAGAAGTCCGGACGACCGCCCCACACACGTGCGGAGCCCCCGGGACCGCCCACCTCTTCCCACTGATTCTCGTGGAAGCCGCCGCTGTAAGGCTGGCTCCGGAACTTTTCCAGGAACGAGTCCATGGCGTCGTCCGAGGCAAGGTCCGGCTCAGACCGCTCCATAGCGGACCCCCGTCCTCCTGTCCTGGTCCCGGTCCCGGCGCAGAAATGAGAGCGGCTCTTTCCGGCGGCGCGGGCGTCCTTCCCTCAATCTTCCGTGCTGCTCCCGCCCGCGCGCCTCGGGTTCCGCCGGCCTGGGGGCGTGGCCGGCAGGCCCCACCCCTCCCCGGGCAAGCGCCGCCCCCCGCTCAGACGGCCCTTCTCGGTGCCTCAGCCCCGCCCCCCCAAGGCTTTGAGGGTAGTGGATAAACCCAAACCCCACAAAACCCACACTTCGTTCCCTCACTTGTTAGCTCTTCAGCGCATACTAAGCTCCTTCTGTGTTCCTGGTCTGGTCTAGTCTTTGTATACAAAGCAGATAAAATCCCAGCCCTTTAGGAGTTGCTAAGGTGGAGGGAGAGTGACATTAAACAGATGAGATGTAAGAGTTTGTAAGGCGGTAGCAAGAGCTATTGGGACAGTTTTAAGCAGGGTGGGCAGGCTTCCGAACAAAAACGCAAGAGGCCTGGGAGGGAATGCTCTTCCCCAGACGGGGAACAGGCAGGACGAGACTGGAGCAGAGCTGTGCTGTGGGACAGCAAGGAGGCCACTGTGGCTAGCCAGGTGAGAGGAAGGGGCCAATAGATGACGAGGTGAGAGGGATAAAGGGGCTGTGATTGTGAGGACTCGGCTTTTCCTCAGACGGGAGTGGGCCCTTCCGGAGAGTTTTGAGGAAATAAGTGACTGATGTGACCCCAATTTCTGAACATAGCCACCTCAGAAACCCCCGTGGCTGCGCTGGAGACAGGGTCTCCAGTCCACGCGCAGCAGACCTGGTCACCCAGCTACTGTGGCTGCCTGCAGCCACCCATCCTATTCCCAGCAAAAGCCTACAGGGCCCTGCACCAGTGCTACAGCCTTGGGGAGCTCCTAGCCTGGTCCAGAACAAAGAGCAGGCAGGAACCAGACTGTTGGGTCACAGGTCTGCTCAGTGGAGGCACAGAGGGGCAGGATTCAGAAAGATTCCACATAGGTGATGCAAAACTGAGAGCAGAGCTGAGGAAGGTCTCTGCAGATGGACAGAGGCCTGGAGGAGGGGAGCCTGTGTGCAGAGGCAGGGGAGCCCGTGTGCAGAGGCATGCAGGTGTGCACCAGCCTGTTGAGCTGGGTACTGTAAGGTTTAAGAGGTGTGGCCAAGTTGTGGGGGAGCCAAAGGCCTGCCTGCCTGCCCCATTGGCCTTTATCTTGCTGAGGACAGCAGCCACTGAAATGACCTAAGGGGAGGGAGGCCAGGAGCACCGTTGTCTTAGGAAGGTCTGCCTGGGCTGCCAGGTGAAGGGTTGATGGGGGCTACGGGGACTGCTAGTGAGAGACCAAGGGAGAAGAGAGCTAGAGCCCAACACTGGAGCTGGCAGCTTGGTCAGTTTTTGATATGGGGATGATACTACAGAGCTAAGAATGATGCATGAGGGACTTTGAGTCTTCAAGTGCCAGGACTCTGTCTTTTCCCTTCTGATTCAATCACTCCCTGCAGAACTCCTAGTCCAGGTGCTCCCTTTCCTCTAAATTCAAACCTCCATTTCCACATTTCCTCTCCCAAACCTGCTCCCTGACCCTGGTTCCCTTCTTTATTCTCCTGTTCATCATCTTTCCCCTTCTTGAGTGCAGAGCCTACAGAATCCTTTTGCTTCCATTTTTTCCATTTGAATCCTTTAAGAACATTGCGAGGTACAAATCCATTTTTGGAGTAACAACAGAGAAACTGACTTGCTCGATGCTCTGTGAATCTTGCAACTCAAGATTAGTTAGGGGCCTTGGCCAATAACTGGGCCAATCAGCCTCTGCTGTGCTCCAAGTCGCCCAGCCCTGGAATACAGCAGTTGCCATTTGTTTGTCAGGACCACCCAGACGGGGGCTCTGGCCAATAAAAGCAGCAGTGTCTCTGGGTGGAAAGGGCTTGGGCATGGGAGTCAGGAGATCTTTGGGACCTACATTTCCATGGGATCCCTTGTGTGCCCTTGGGCAAGGCTATCCCTCTTTAAGCTGTGTCCTTATCTGTAGAATGTGGGCAAGAAAACCAGTCTGCCTTCCCCATAATCCACAGGGCTTCTGTGAGGCTCAAAGGAGGCAATATTTGTGAGCATTCTCAGCAATGGGAAGTGTTGTACAAATGGAACAGCCCTATTTCCTGATCTCACCCAGGCCCACAATCCACAAGGCCTTGGTTTACCACTTTTTGGATTGTATGGTCAATTTCATGGATTCTTCATCCCCAATAGGATCTTAAAGTAGGTGCTTCTGAGGCTTGTGTCTCTTCCCACTGTACACACTTTCCCAGGAGAGTCCCACCCCACCCACTGTAGGCAGATAAATCCCAAATCTGTCTCCCTCTCAGACCCCTCTCCTGAGTTCTGTCCCATGCAGCTGTCTTAGCCCATCAGGCTGCTGCACTGAACACCATAGACTTTGTGGTTCACAAATACACATTTATTTCTCACAGCAAGGTGGAGGCTGGGACGTCCAAGATCAGGGCCTGGCAGATTCAGTGTCTAATAGGCCTGCTTCCTGGTCATAGATGCCATCTTTTACTGTGTCCTCGTGGAGGAAGGGGTGAGGGAGCTCTCCAGAGTCTCTCATATAAGAGCACTAAACCTACTCACTAATCCCTAATCACCTCTCAAAGGCCCCGCCTCCCCATACCATCACCTTGGGGGTTAGGATTTCAACAAATGAATTTTGGGGGAATGCAAACATTCAGACCGTCTCACCAGCCAAGCACATGTCTGTCTCCACCAGCTGTTGCACAGTCCCTCAAGCTCCCCATGTCCAGACTGAACTCATTCCCTGCGCCCCAAACCTGCTCCTGGTCCTGGGCTCACTGCTCAATGTGGGGCCTATTGGCTCAGTCATCCACCCAGCAACCGGGTGCCAACCTCAACACCTCCCTCTCCCTCCTCCAACCTGTCAGCCACCAGGTTCTGAAAGTCCCCTTCCTCACTCTCCCACAGGACTCTGTCCGTTTGACACTGCACAGCCTGGCCACCGTTCCCTCGGCACTGTCTGGCCAGGTCTCCCTGTCTGTGCTCCTGTGCACCCGCCACACAGCTCTTTCGCTCCACTGCAGAGTGAGCTTTCTTCTGCTTTCTTTTCCATTTCTTCCCTTCTGTACCCCAGAGCCCTCCTCCTTGCCCCCACCCTACACAATCATTCTAGTGTGTTTTAATGTGTCTTTTCAGTTTTGTCAGTGTTCTTGCAAAATGTGAATGCTTTTGTGCACACTTTTTAAATATCCTTTTTTCATTCAGCACTGCGTTTTGGGTCCCACGTGTGCTGCTGCACGTACCCCACTCTCTCTAACCATTGCACGGGACTCCACAGCAACATTCTCTCCTCAGGGATGGATGCCCAGCTGGCCTCCTCTTCCCAACCCTGCAAAGAACAGCAAAGACTTCCCCATCCGTCTCTCTGTACGGACCTGTGGAAGATTCCCCTGAGATGTGTACCCATGAGTGGAACTGCTGGCTCATGGGCATGCATAAACTTAATATATGGAGTAGTGACAGATTCCTGTCCAGAATAGCTGCACCAATCTACTGTCCCACCAGCATTGCCAGGCAGTTCCTGTATCTCCATGAGGAGGGAGTTTTCTAAAGCAGACATCTGCCTACATCTCTCCCCTGCTTGGCACCCCACCCTGCCTTCCTGCTCCTCTCTGGATGACATCTTCCTCCTTAGCATAGCCTCAAAGGCTTAGTGGCTGGCTCTTGCTCTCCCCTGCCCACCTCTAGGCTCCATCACATACCATATCTGCAGTTGGTCCTTGGTCCCCTGTGCCCTGTTCCCTTCTATACACTCCCACCATGTGGTCATCTTTCCAAATCCCCTGGGGGGGGGTCTCTTCTCTAGGAAGCCTCCTCTGACACCCTAAACCCCAGCTGGCCATGTACTTCCTCTGGACTCCATAGCCCACATGCTGGCCTGCTGTGCTGTTGGTGTCTTTATATGCTTCTGATACCTCCATTAGGCCGAAGTTCCTCAATTGTGGCACTTTTGACAATTTAGGGTAGATAATTCTTTGTTGTGGGGGCTGTCCTCTGTACTGTAGGATGTTGAGCAGCACCCTTGGCTTCTACTCATTAGATGATAATAACACACGCTCCCCCAAGTTGCAACAAACAGGTCTCCAGACATGGTTAAATATTCCCTGGGGGCCAAAATCACCCCTGGTAGAGACCCACCGCATCCAACTATGAACTGCTCAGGGTCTGGGGCTGGGTCTCATTCATGTGTGTATCCCTGGCACCCAGAGCAGGCCTGGTCTGAGTTAGGTGCTCAGTAACTATTGCTAGAATCAGTGGTAGCCAATGGCTGGGCAAAGTCCCAAGGGTGGGACTCAGAGATCAGTGTTCAGTATGTGCATGATGTGTGGGCAGGACGGGTGGGGAGAGTATCTCTTCTTTCCCTCTCCTTTCCTTGCCCCGAGGGCCACCCAAATCATCATTTCCTTTTGTTCTTGCACTGTGGGGAGGAGAAACCAAAACATCCAGCAGACTTACCGTGTGGCATTGGGCAAGCCATTTCACCTCTCTGAGCCTCAGTTTCCCCATTTATTCAATGTGGACAAAACAGCCTGTGTGCGTCAGTAAATGTGGACTGAGCCAACAAACGAAGGCCATGCTCCTCTCACAGCTTGCTGCACAGAGGGACAGCTGCTCCAGAGCCCGGGCACGTCCCATGAGGAAAAGCTCAGGGTGGAGAGGTGAGCCACATGGCACTTACAGTGGGTGTGGCTGGGGCTCAGCCACCCTGAGGAGGGTTGGGGGCTCGGGGACATCACTGCTTCAAGGACATCTTCCAGGAGCCCAGTGCCTGCATGATCCAGGAGCGCCGCTGGTGGGAAGTGGGCAGGTGGTCACAGCTGGGGCTCCAGCGGTGTGTGGCAGCTGGGTCGCACACCCACGGGTCCCCGTGCGGCAGCGGCCAGGAGTTCCGCCAGCAGCTGGCCAGGATGTGGTCCTGGGCCTGGGCTGCATAGATGCACACTGATGCCTCTGGGTCATGTCTCAAGTTTTCCAGAGCTGGGTCATGGGGCAGGGAGAGGCCATGTGTTAAGACCAGGTCCCCATGTGGGCCTCACACCTCATTCTTCCTTCCCACCTCCACGCCGTGGCTTAGGCACCCTCTGCTCAGAATCCCCTCACCTCCCTTCCTCACAGCCCTTCCAGTTGTTCACATCTTTCAAGGCCTGAATCAAAACTGCCTCCTCCAGGAAGCTTTCCTGGACTCCTCTGGCCTCCTTTAATGCTTCCTTCAGCTCCTCAGTTACAAAATGAACCTGCCCCCATCCCGCTCCTGCTTAAGAGTCTGAACTACTTGCCCTGCACTAAATTTTGGTCCCATTTTCTTAATGAGATTGTAAGTTCCCCCAGGGTGGGCCTGTGAGTTCTGTCTCTTGCTAACCCCACAGTTCCTAACACTGTTCATCCTAGATAAAGATGAGCACCGCTGAATCAAGCTGAAAAGCCTTGCCTTGGACACACCCCTTCCCTGTCCCTGTTACCCCCTGTGATCCCATTCATTCTTCATAACCCCTGACATCTCACCAACCCAGCGCATGACTTACCAGATTTCACTTCATTCAGACGCTCCTCTGTCATTATGCCCTCCATGCAGGGGACCAGGGACCCTTGAGCATAATCCAAGAGTTGAGTGCATCCTTCTCCTGACTCTGGCCCCGCCACATCCCACTCTGGGACCAGACCTCTGTCCCCACCGTCCTCCAGCCCCACAAATGAGGACACAAAGGGAGAACTTCATTTGGACTCTGGGGCAGATTCCCCAAGAAGGGCCCTGAGAGAGATGGCTGGTCCAGTGGGCAGAGATGTCCCCGAGATGGGGGCAGGAGCTGGGCTGCAGCTGACTCTGATAGTGCAGCACTAGGCTAGCCTCTTCCCCGGTCTTGGCCTTGGTTTCCTCATCTGTGACACAGGGAAGTGCTGCCCACCCCTGTAGGGAGTTTGAGCAGCAATTACATGCAGGACCCAGAGCACCTTGCACCTGTCAGGCGCAGCCGCAGTGGGGCCCCTGGGGAGGCCAAGACTCAGCTGTTCTGGGTCAAGGATCTGTTCCCAGTGACTCCTCTGCAGCATCACTCTGTCCTCCCCTGCTCCCAGCCATGCCTGGCTCCCGAGGTACCCGCAGGTCCTTGAATAGGCTAGACCTCTCAAAAGGCCCTGCCCTCACTTCTTTACCTGGCTAATTCCTTTTTGTCCTTGAACAGTCAATTTAACAAGTGGGCCCCCAAGCTAGCGTAGGTGCTTCTCTGGGTTCCCAGAGTATCTGAGAGCTTTTCTGTCTGTATGTACTGTGTTGTATGTTACTTTTGTTTTATGAATCTTCATCTCCTGCCAGACCAGAAGTTTCTTCACCTTAGATGTACTGGGGGATGACCGGGGAGGGGCCGTCTCTGAGGACCCTAATGTCACATGCAAAATTGTACGCATTTTTGAGCCCTAGGGAAAGTGTTCACAACCATCTTCAGAATTCTCACGGAAGGCTCATAACCCAAAGAGTTTAGGAATCACTGTGCCATGCTGGGAGCTGTCTGAAGGCAGATCCAGGCTCCACTGAGCTCCACTCAGCTTCCTTTCCCCAGCACAGACCCCGGCACAGAGAAGAGTCCCAGGTGTTAAATACTAATGATTTTAGAGGTGATCGATTTGGAGCAAGATTTAAAGAAATCAACATGTAGGGAATAGATGTCACTCCCTTTGAGAAGCTGCCCCAACATTCTGAGGGATGTCCCAGTCCCGAGTGGTGCTCCTCTATCCCAACATGGACCATGGCAACAGCCACAGCCTCCACCCCACCCCACCACCCACACCCCCTCCTGAAGGGCTCTTTGTTTCTCCACAGAGTAGGGGATCGAACCACTGGATGGATGAATGGGTTACTGGATGGGTGAAAAACAGCAGATGAATCAGGGAAAGGTACTAAAAGAAACATCACCTTACAAATGGTATCATCTCCAAACCTTTTTACAAGGTTTCCTGGTCCTTGGTGAAGGATATGTGCTCATTTGGGGAGGGGTGAGTGCTGGGAGGAGACGTGCCCAGCATGCCATCAGAAAGGTCCTGTGGGGGGATTCTGGGCAGTGGGGAATCTGCTATGTGTTTTTTCCAGAAAGGCAGAGGTTGGAATTGTGGGAAATAGAATGCAGGTCACTAATGTTGAGCACCTTCATATGCCGGGCCTCACTTTTGAAAAAACATTCTCATCCAGTCTATGAAACAGAAGTTGGTCCCCATCTTACAGATGAGGAAACTGAGGCTCAGTGGGAATAAATGACCCAGTTGGGATCACACACAAATAAGATCATGGAGCTGAGGTTCTATGTGATTCTTTCTACTGTGCTGCATGGCCCCTCCTGCCACAGTTAACAGGGGACTTGCCCAGGCTCCTGCTGGGCTTGAACTCAGGCTGTGCTCCAGGGGGGAGCAGCAATTCTGCTGCATACGGTCGCCAAGGTCATGCCCTACACGAAGACTTCAGGCTGAATCCAGCCTGTGGCCCACTTCCTAAACCATGATCTTAGAGTGGGGAAGGACATTCCAATTTGCACCATGGCTATCTGCTGGCTGCGTCTTGCACCCAAGGGGAGGCATCCCCCCAGGTGACAGAGGGGCTGGCAGCCTGGGAGGAAGCAAAATGGAGAGCAGGCAGAGCCCCGGCAGCAAGACTAGTTGTGCTAGGGCACGTTACCTATGAACATGACTGAGGACTTCCGGAGGGAGGCCCGTGGGTTCCTGGCATACTCCAGGCTCTGGCTGAGGAATGTGAAGGCGTGGTCCCGGTAGGTGTTCACCTGGGACAAACAGAAACCCCCAAAGTGCTGTGCTCTCGAAGGGACTAATTACCCATCCATCCCTCTTGAACCTAGGAATGGTGACCCTGGACCCGACTCCTAAACATCTCTGCTAACCAGTCCTCCTCCTGAGTCCCCCAGAGGCCAGGCCTCATATCCTTTAGCTGACAGCAACAGCCACTTCAATGGTCTTCCTGCCTTGGGTGTCTCTGCTTCCAATCCATCCCCCTGCTGTAGCTGGAGGGAAAGTCCTAAAATGCAGGTCCAGCCGGAGATGGGAATGGATGTGCTAGGGACACAGTAGATAAGGGTACAGGTCTGACCAGGGCAAAGGATTCAAGTTGTAGAGCAATGGGGAAGAACCGGAGAGTTAGGGAATCTTAAAAGCTCTTAAAAGCCAGGCAGGAATAGGGTTCACTTGTGCCCTGGAAAATAGGCAGCCAGCACCCATTCTTGATAGCGCAGTGAAAAAGCAGCATTTAGGGCAAAATAGTCTGACAGTGGTAGTCAGGATGGGTTTGGTAAGTATACTCTGGGAGGCAGCTGCCCAGTGAAGGGGCTGCTGAGGGAGAAGTGGAGAAATCTGCTATAATGGCTCCCCTGGTGGCAACCCCTGTGATGTCAAGGTCCAGGCTCCCGGGCCTGGCATGCAAAGCCTTCATGATCATGTCTGGGTCGAACCTTCCTTCCCAGGCTCAACTCCCAGCACTGCCGCCACCTGCCATGCACACCATGCGCTGGGTCCCAGGACACGGCCCAGCTCTCCCAGATCTGTGCCTTGAACAAGTGATTGCTCCTATTTGGGGTGCCCTTCCCTCTCTTCTTCACTGATACATTCCCTCTCGTCCTTCGAGTCTCAGCTCAGATGGCACTTCCTCCCCGAAGGCTTCCATGGCCCCCAGGCAGAGCTCATCCCACCACCCTCGACGTTTCTGCAGCATCTTGCACATCCCTTGTCCTGGCGCCTATGACATTGTGCTGTGGTTATTTACACCTGTCTCCACCCAGAAAGTGTTAGATGAATGAGTGAATGAATGAATGAACAAATGAATGAATAGGTTACTGACCCCTTCTTAAAGCTAGGATCAACCTTCTTATGAGCAGAGCTTTTGACATCCTAGAGAGCAAAGAAGAAACCAAGACACCAGAGGGGTCTAATACAGAGGTCACAAGCTGACGGCCACAGGCCTCAGTAACCTGCAGATCATGACCAACACAGTGTTTTAAAGAAGCTAAATTGATTGCTAATCAATCTTATAAAAGTGTAGGATTCTAGATTTTCTTGGTAAATGTGCAGGACCCGTCGCAAGGGGCCTGCACATTGAGCTGGAGCTCTCCGCTCCGGCCTTCAGCAGGGCCTGGGCTGCCCCGATTGCTCGGACCCCGGTGTTTCCATGTCACTCATGATTATCTGCCTAGTCACTGGCCACTGTAGGCATCTGAATTAGCCACTGGCCAAACACTGACTCCAGACCTCTGCCCCCCTCTGTAAAGTGATGATAACAATATTAGATCGTGGATTGCAGAGGCTTTGAGTGTTACTGCTAACAGTGTCGGTCCTGTAACAATCTACTGCTCAGTGTATTTATGTTAGATTGGTGTAAGGGGTGCTGGACACCCCACCCACATCTCCCTTCCCACAGAAGGATTTATTCCCCCAGCTCTGGGGATTGCCTAGCTGAAGAGAACTGCCTGGCCCAGGGTGGAGTCCCTTCCTAGAGTGATGGGCATCCAGTGACAGATGAACACAGGGGTGCAAAGACCTGACCTCAGCCCCATTTGGCAGACACCTCTGCTGAAGCTACACTGTGGCTTGACTTCCCCTCGGCTACTCCTGCTCCCACCCCTCCCTTCCACAGTGTCGGGGCCAAGGGTGCTCCCCTATAAGCCTCCTGCCAGATGATCTCATCCTGCCCATGGCAGTGGGGAAGGTACTATATTAATAGATTGGGACTAGATGGTAAAGCTCCCAAATGCCGCATGGAGGGCTGGGCTGCACCTGCAGTGGGGCGCTTCACAGTGTGTGTGGCTCGCTCCTGCCTCACAGTGTTCACAGGTATCACCTGGAAAGGAGGTTCTGTGGCCACATAAGTTTGGGAAACCATGACATAAACAACCATGAACATGTTTCCTCAGCACAGAACATCTCAGAGCCTTTAATGTGCTGATGTCATTGCAAATCTCCAAGAGGAAAATGACAATGCAATATTTCCCAAACTTATTTGTTCTGGAACTTTCTCCCCCATGGGGCATAAATCTCGTGAGTCTGATGTCACAGGGAGTACACCCTGGGGATTGATGTTGTAGAAAAGGAAGCCAATGTAGCCTTTTAGGCAGGAATATAATATAGACAGACTTGTGTTTTTAACAAGACCACTCTGGTGGCCCGGGTGGGGAATGGATTGGAAGGGATGAAGTTAAACGCTGGAGACCACTTGGGTGCCTGGACCGATGGCTCAACTCGGGGAAGTCCATGCTTTGAATTAAGAGCAATGTCATTGGGGCTGTGGCGGGAAAAACAGACTCTGAGATATTTGGGATATTTAGAGTGATCAGATATGGAGCGTGAGGGAGAGAAGGAGTCCTGGAAGATTCTAGGTTTCTGCTTTGGGGATCTAGAGGGACAGAGAAGAACTGAAAGGGAAGGCCATAAGTTCAAAAGAGACATGCTGAGCCTGGAGAGCCTGTGGCTCAACAGGGGAGGTGTCCAGTAAGCCACAGGGAACACAAGAGGTGGGCAGAGAAGTCAGAGAGAGATGAGCGTTTGGAGCCAACAGCTTGTAGGCAGTCATGGAAACTGTCAGGCAGGATGCTGGTGTAAAAGGAAGGAAGAGAGGATGGAAGTGCCCACCTCCAACGCACTTGTAAGGAACCACTGTGGTGTCTAGAAGCACTCACAAGGAACTTGCAGATTTTGGCCACTGTCTCCTGCTGGTTGTCCCAGGGCTTCCGGCTGTAAGCTCTTTTCGGCAACTCCCAAGCCATGAAGCAAGAACATTGGAACAGGGTCTTCACACATATCTGGGGACCAACAGGAAGAGAATATCAGAGCTGTGGAATTCCAGGGCAGCCAGAACATGTTCCAGAAAAAAAAAATTGTGTGAAAACTGGATTTTGAAGAATTGGTATCTATTGAAAGCACACAAGTGACATTGGCTGTTTTAAGGAGGAGTCGTGACTTGGTGCCTTTGGAAAGCAGGTGTGGCCCGACACGGGTAACTGCCCCCTGGGCTGACTGCGATTCTGGCGTGGTTCCTGTAAAGGCAGTCGCAGCTGCAGGGCCCGAGGGGAGGGCAGGGGGCCCAGTGGCCACACGTACCTGGCCCACCTTGGCGTTGCCCTCCTGCATGGTCAGCAGCAGTGGCACCAGGGTGCTGACCAGCTGCTCCTCCATGGCCTCGGTGTGTGGGGGCCGAAGCTTCTGGACCATCTTCCCATACAGGCTGATAGACGAGGAGCGCACGTCCTCGCGTGACTGGGGAAAACCAGAGGCTCAGGGGGGCTCTCTCCTCCAGAAGCCCACCCGGCAGGGTAGATGGGGGGCCAGTGCTCCCCTCACTCCAGCCTAGGTCTGGAGCTTTCTCCACCCTTCCCAGCCAGGGCCTCTCTAACCTCAAAGTAGCCTTAGTGGCAAGTAGAAAAATCCCTCCTCTGCTGGGACCACTAAAAAAAAACATGCCCTCTCTTTGTGGACCAGTTGCAATAAGACAACGCTCTGGGGAGATGGGATCCCTCCCTCCCCCCAACTCTGTGGATTCCTCACGTCACTGAAGTGCGGCAGCAGGACCTGCAGAATCTCCAGGTAGATCGAGCTGTCCACCAACTTCCGGCCCTGCCCCTTGAACATGGTCTTGAGGTTGTGGAGTGCTTCCACCACCAGCATCCCATCCAGGCCCTGCAGGCCCTTCACCATGGATGGCAGGAGGGCCTGCACCTTGGCCATCTGCGGGGCAGGAGCATTTGGGATGGGGGCTAGCAAGTTGGAAGCACTGCCTCTGATTCACTGAAATGAACCTGGGGCCCCATCCCCGCTCCCAGGCCTCTGCTGTCCATTCCCCTACCTAGAAGCCCTCAGCTGAGCTCTCGCTGCTCCCTGAAGCCCTCTTTGGCTTCTTTGGCTCCTTCCTGCCCTAGAGCCCCGAGGCCCTTTGCCATCCACCCCTTTCCTTGGCATGACAACCCTGCATTGTTAGTTAGCTTTTTGAGTCTACATCCTGTCCCTCCATCCCAGCTACATCATGATCTGCAACAGTGCCTGGTAGAGAAAAGAAAGCCCTTTTTAAAATGCTAATGAAGGGCCAGGTGTGGCGGCTCACACCTGTAATCCTAGTACTCTGGGAGGCCAAGGCAGGAGGATCACTTGAGGTCAGGAGTTCAAGACCAGCCTGAGCAAGAGTCTCTACTAAAAATAGAAAAAAGTAGCCAAGCAACTAAAAATAGAAACAAAAATTAGCCATGCATGCTGGCAAGCACCTGTAGTCCCAGCTACTCAGGAGGCTGAGGCAGAAGGATCACTTGAGCCCAGGAGTTTGAGGTTGCTGTGAGCTAGGCTGACCCCATGGCACTCTAGCCCAGGAACAAGGTGAGACTCTGTCTCAAAAAAAAAAACAAGAAAAATTTTTTAAATTTAAAAAAATAAAATGCTAATGATGCATCAACAATCTCGGCCTCAGTTTCCTAATCTATAAAATCACAGTAATTACTGCCACCCTCTGCCCCTCCTATGCACACCACCTTTAGGGTTATCGTGAAAAATGTGGATTAGAAATTATTCAAAAAGAATAAAACATGGAGAGATTATTAAGGGATATCCATTTTACAGATGGAGAAACTGAGGCTGGGACAGAACTGGTTCCTGATTCCAGCTACCAGCACCTGAGAGCCTGTGACAGCCACCTGCATCCTTTCTCCAGCCCAGGGCCAGCTAGGCCAGGCTTTCCTCTGCCCTCCACTCACCTTCTCGGTCCTGCGGGCCAGGATGCCCAGGCCTCGGATGGACAGCACCTTCATGATGGGGTCGCGGTGGTTCAGGCCTTCCGCCATCCGCCCCAGAGAGTACTCCTCGGGGATCCTGCGCACCTGCTCCATCTGGAGGAGCTGAGGGAGCAAACGGTAATCGCTGCCGGGGTGAGGGGGCTGGCAGCCCTGCGGTCCCACGCACTGGGAGTATACGTTGGACAACCAGGGTCAGCCTCTGCCCAGAGTTCAGACTTGGAAAACCATCAGTGTGATGTCCAGGTCCAGCATGAAATTTGGCTCCTTTCCTCCTTAGAAGTGCCCATCCCCGTGTTCCCCCTCTCAGGGCTCGTAGCACCAGCCCCTGCTTGTCCAGGCCAAGACTGGGCATCACCCTCACCTCCTTCCTCTCCCTCCTGCCCTCCCAGCCCCCAGCAGCCAGGATGTCTTCAATTCCTGCTGCATCATCCTCCTAAACATGCGTCCCCTCACATCCTTGCCTAACTGCCACCACTGAGCCCATGTGTCTTTCTGACAGGAGGAAAGAGCTGGGGAGAGGCAGAGCTGGAGGAGGGGCAGGGAAGGAAGGGCTCCACCCATCCGCACCAGCTGGACTTAGGCCTGCTCTGTACCAGGCTCTGGGCTAGGCACTTGGGACACAGAAGGGAGTAATGAGGGTCACCCCAGCAGTACACCTGGCTCCCAGAGAGCACGTCCTCTGTGCCAGGCACTGTCGTAAGTGTCTTATGGGAACTCGTTCCATCCTCATCAAAACTCTGAGGTGGGCAATTCATTCTCCCTATATTGCAGGTGAGGATATTGAGGCACAAACAGGTTAAGCAACTTGCCCAAGGTCACACCACTCCCTTGAGGAGTTCTCTTGCCATCGGCAGAAGCAAACACACACACAAGCACCACACAGAGGGCTGCAGGGAGCCAGGGAGGGACATCTGAGCTACATCGAAATGCTGACTCTGGCCAGGATGGGCACCTCTTCTGGAGAGGTGGGAGAAGACTGAACTTGGGTGAAGACTCTTGTTCCAGAGAGGGAGGGCCACTGCTCAGGGCCTGGGGGAGCTCTGGGATCAAGTTAAACCCAGTGTCCCTGTCCCAGGGTTAGTGTGAGGGTGGAATGCATCAATATAAGTAAAGCTCTTAGGACAGGCCTGGAAGATAGTGAGTGCTCAGCAAACACCAGCTTGCATAGCTGCTGGGCCGCCCCCTTCTCGCCTGTCTCCAGCAACCTCTCCTGACTCCACTCTCCCCAGCACCTTCCCCCTCACATTCAGCTTAGATGTCTCCGCCTCCAGGAAGCTCTCCCTGGTCCCTTGCTCGTCAAGTCTCCTGTTCTCCTGCCACAGCCTGGACTCCCCACCATAGCACAAGTCTCTCTATGGTACCCTGTGTTATAACTGGGCTGTCCTTTGTCTCGCCTGCTACATCAAGAATTCCTGGAGGGCAGGGTGGAGTCAAATGCGTATTAGTGCATATTTGGATCTCCGGAGGCTGACGCAAGAAGGTGCTCAGTGAAAGCTGGTGGCTGCCCAGGGCACTTGCGAAGCTTGGGAAGAGTGGAACGTGGTGGGGGGTGGAGAGAGGCGGAGAGAAGGGAAGGCGGCCTATGACACTGTATAGTCAAGAGAAATCACGCTCAGGGAAAGGCCTTGTAAACCATAAAGGACTGTCTGCACAGGAGAAATGACCAGGGGTATGAACCGAGGCATGAAGACCCCCACCCCGTGCCCGGTGCCCGCGGGTACCTCCACGAAGAAGGCGGTGGCGGTGATCTTGTGCTTCTCGTCGCCGCGCTCCAGGAGCGGGATGAGCAGGTAGAGGATGCGGCACAGCTCCTGGCAGGAGTAGTGCACCATGGCCCTGCGGTGGGGAGGGGGATCCCCTCAGGCTCGCCAGCCCCAGGGCCACCTGCAGGGTGGGGGCTTGGCTCTGACCCTGGAAATCCTGGGCAGGCCAGGATCACCTGGGTTCCTGCATTCCCAGGATTTCCCACCTGAGGGGGTCTTAGATGCCATGTAGTTTAACTGCCTCGTTTTACAGATGGGGAAACTGAGTCCCGGAGTGGGAAAGCAACATGCCTAAGGGCACAGAGCAAGTCAGTAGGAGAGACAAGCCGAGGACCCCTGACTGCACAGGACCATGTTGGGGGGGAGAGGCAGGAAGGAGAGGCGACGGCCACTCAGTGCGCCAGGCAGCAGCCTGACACTTTCATGTGTCACTTCATTCGATCTCACCATTACCTTCAAGGCAGGATACTGTTATCATCCCCACGTCCCAGATAGGAAACAGAGTCTCCAAGGGTGACCTACCCGAGGTCAGAGAGCTGGACAATGGCAGAGACGGAGCCCCAACCAAGAGCTCCCCATTCCAGCTGCCTTGCTCACTCTGCCACGCCAGTGGTTCCCAAAGTGTCCGTCTCCACCCACCCAGTCATGGCAGCATCACCTGAGAACCTGTTAGACGTGCACCATCCCAGACCCACCGAGGCAGGAACTTGGGGGGAGGGGTGCAGGCCCCGGAGGTGATTCTGAGGCACATCTGAGGACCACTGCACTATGCTTCGTGAATCAGTGAATCCAGCAAAGTGTCGCAGGGATGCATGGAGTCTGGAATGAGACAGCCTGGGTTCAAATCCTGGCCCCAGCACTAGCAGTGTGACTTGAGGCAAGTCACTTAACTTCTCTGGGCCTCAGTTTCCTTGTGTATAACACTGGGATAACAAGAGTACTGTTTCATTGGCCATAGTGAGGATTAAATGGGATCATCCTTATAACACCTCTTGGCATGGTGCCTAGAGCATAGTAAGTGCTCAGTAAATGTGGTTGTGGACCAGGCGTGGTGGATCACACCTGTAATCCCAACATTTTGAGAGGCCCAGGCAGGAGGATTGCTTAAGGCCAGGAGTTTGAGACCAGCCTAGGCAACATAGGGAGAGCCTGTCTCTACAAAAAAAAATAAAAATTAGCAGGGCATGCTCATGCACCCATAGTCCCAACTACTCAGGAAACTAAGGAGAAAGGACAGCTTGAGCTCAGGAGTTCAAGGTTACAGTGAGCTCCAATGGGGTCACTGCACTTCTGCCCGGGCAACAAGAGTGAGACCCTGTCTCTAAATATATATATATATATATATATATATATATATAGAAAGGAGAAAGATGGAAGAAGGAAGAAGGGAGGGAGGGAGGAAGGGAAAGAAGGAAAGAAAGAAATGCAGTCGTATCTTAAGAACCCTGGGCAGAGTGCCATCCTAGCACCCAGGATCTAGGGCTAAGAAGCAGGCTCTCCTGCAAAAGTCACATCGCTGAGATCTAGGTGTCCCCTCTCGACCCCAGGGGAGGCTATGGGTAGTCACAGGAGGAGCTCTGGGCTGGGTCAGCAGTCATTTCCCAGCTCTGCCGCTTCCTGCCTGTGTGACCTCAGGTACATGACTGTTCCTCTCTGGACTTCAGCATGCTCCTGTGCAAAACATGTATTCATATTAATAATCCCTGCCCCACCAGTGACTGTAATGACAGTAACAGCTCACTGTGTTGAGCTCTCACCATGTGCCAAGGGCTGTTCAAAGCACTTTATTTAATCCTCACCCCAGCCCTCAGAGCTGGGTCTTGCTATTATCCCCACGCCACTGAGGGAGGAAGGACAGAAGGGCAGTAACTTGCCCCAGGTCACTCTGCTAGGAAGCAGCAAGCTAGGGTTCAGATGCAGGTGCACAGTCCCCAACGCCTCACTCCCAAGAGCTGGGTTACGCTGCCGTTTCTGTGTTAGCGTGGGAGCCGCATTCACAGCGCGGTAAGGGAAGGTGCTTTGTAAATAACCTAAGTGCCGTACAATTGCCGGGAACCGTCACAACCAAAGTCACCCTGCAGAGTGAGCACCAGCTTTCACATCTGCGTTGTCAGCATGCCGAGGAAGACACCACTTCCCAGCGTAGGGAAGAGGTGACAGGCTGAGAAAGGGGCTTGCCAGAGGGAGGTGCAGACCCCAGTCTGTCTGAAGATCCTGAGGTCTCCCCCGCCCCCCTGCGGAGTCCCAGGGCCTCACCTCGCCAGCAGGCACACTCCTCGGTGGTGGTTCTCCGCCTGTCCCATGAGCTCCCAGCCACCCTGCTCCTCCACGAAGGCGGCCTCGTAGGAGCAGCCCATCTTCAGCAGCAGCGTTTTCACCACTTTCACCACCCAGCTGCCGAGACAGGGCAGCTGAAACCCATGGCCACCAGGCCCCGGGCAGCCCCTCCCACCGCCAGCTGCCACCTGGCCCAACTACGCGGTGTGTCCGCAAAGGGTGGCTTTTCACAAATATTATAATAATTAGCTTTGAGAATAAGAGAGGAAACAGAAGCAAAAGTCACCTTCCACCGAAGGTTTCTGTTTCTGGCAGGTTCTGCCGCTGACTGCCACCCTACTGCATGCCCGGGGCCGCACCGGGCGTTCACAGACGCAGATAGCTACGTCTGCACAGCAGAGAGAGTCTGGTAGTCTTACAGAGAACAGAGTGTACATCGAAACAAAGTTTTCCAACAACCTAAACATTTGCTGAAAGAGTTCATGAAGCACTTTGCGGACACAACCTCAGATGGTACTGAGAGCGGGTGGTTCTCACGAGTGAAAACAAAGCTTTTTAGAAACCGGGTAACCCTCAGGAATTCGCTCTTCCCCGTCATGTTTTTGCTTTTGTAATGAATATTGACCCAGTGTGAACGCTAAGGCTTCTGAGGCCAGAACTTTCTGAATCATTCAGCCTTTGCTGCTGCTTTCAAACGTGTGCGGTCAGGGACAGTCCCCACTGCGGTTCACACTTACACTCGACCACCCTCTCCTCCCCGTGCGGCCCCTTCTCCAGGGTCACTTTTCTGGGCACCTTCTCATGGACTGGCTTGGGGACAGCATCAAGCTCGGGAGCTCGGAAGGGAACGACTTGTCTTATATTTAGGCTGAAGCTTCTTAGCACAGAACTATGTCATTCATAGTTTGTCCTGTCTGTTCTTTCACCTCACGTCTCCATCAAGCTCCACATTTTAACAAAAATGAGCCCATCCCACTCCCCTCCCCCCAAAATATACAGCCCCAAACGATACTCTTGGGAAGAAGACTGGGCGTGGTGTGGTGGCTCTTTTGGTCCCCAAACACCCACTCTGCGAGTCTCAACCTCCTGGAGGCTTTTCTCAGCAAAGTGGAGCAAGGGATGCCTGGAGGTACCCATTCTCTGTCCCCGCCCTGGGCCCAGGGAGCCGATGGCCCCTGACACAGAGCTGCAGAGCACAGACACTTGGACAACTCTCAGGCCACGTCTGTTGTGTGGGTTTCAGCAGGACCTCCCCCACCCCTCCAAACCCAAGCCAGTGGGACAGTTAGCTCCGGTGTCCACAGAGCTAACTGTGGCACTCATCGCCTCTTGGGAGGACATGACCACCTGGGTGCACCGAGGGCCTCGGGGAGCTCTCCCACCCGTCGCTGGGGCCTGGAGCACCCACAGTCCCTCCACACCACGGCCCTGGGCATTCATTTCCAGTGGCTGCTGGAGCAACTTGCCACAAGCCAGGTGGCTTAGAACAACACAAATGGATTCTCTCACAGTTCTAGAGGCCAGACATCAGAAATCAAGGTGTCAGTGGGCCACTGTCCCTCTGAAGGTCCTAGAGGAGGACCCTTGCCTCTGCCAGCTTCTCGAGTCTCCCAGTGCTCATTGGCTCATGGCCGCATCACTCGCACTCTGCCTGTGTCTCATCAGCCTGCTCCCCACGCCCCCCACATCCTGTCTGCACTTCTCTTCTTATGTGGCCACTAGGCATTGGATTCAGCGCCCACCTGGTTAATCCAGGATGGCCTCATCTTGACATCCTTATTTACATCTGCAAAGATCCTTTTTCCAAATAGAGTCACAGTCAGAGGTTCTGGGTGGACACATATTTTGGGGGCCACCATTCAGCCCACTACGCCCAGGCACCACCTCGTGGCTTTTCTGGTCTCTTTCAGTTTGGCACTTGCCTGCTTCTCAGGCTGCTTCTGACGTGGAGGTGAGGGCAGCCACCCAGGCTCTCTCCAGCCCCTCCTTGTGGTCCTCAGACGGGCCAAGCTCTCCTCACTGGCAGCCATGCCCTTCATCACTCCACAGTCGAGAACTTTCCCACTACGTACACTTTGCTATTTCTCCTCCCCCAGCACCACTTTCCTTTCCTCTGTGTTTTCCCTAGAGCCCACCTGCTTTCTGGATCACAGGTGATGCTCTCAGGGCAGAACCTACAAGCATGGGGGTTGTAGGTTCTGGATGCCACTGTGGCATGTGGTGTCGTGCTGGGATGCTATCCTGTCTGGTCCTCACAGCACCCCTATGGGGCAGGAATCACCCATTTCACAGGTAAAGAAACCAACCACCAAGAGGTGAAATCAGTGTACCCAAAGGACAAAAGGCTACGGTATGGAGCTGGGGTTTGAATCCAAAACCTTCTGACTTAAAGCCCAACTACACGACTGTTTGCCCTCTGCCTCTCTGAATGCACTTTTCTGAGTATAACACACAATAGGAGTCAAAGAAAAAGACTGATAAGTTTGACTGTATAAAAATTAAAAGTTTCTAAATGGCAAAACACCACAAAATAATTGCAAGTTAAGCAACAAACTGGAATACAAATGACAGAGTCCATTTCCTTACTATATAAAGAGATTTTGCAAATTAATAAGAAAAATCCCTGATAATCGTATATAAAATTGGACAAAGGACAAGAGCAAGTTGCCCACAGAAATGGAAACACAAATGGCATTTAAACCTCAACCGTATGGTAAGAGATACGCAAACTAAAACTACATCAAAATTCCATTTTTCAACTCCCAGGTTGGCAAAGATAAAAGTGTTTTATATAATACATTGTGTTGGCGAGGATGTGGGGAAATAGGTGCACACTACTGGTAGCAGTGCCCCCTGCAGGAGGCAATTTGGCAAGTTGGACGCTGTAGGAGCCACTCCCTTTTCCCCTCCATCACTCAATGGTCAAGTACTTTCCCACCTCCTATTCCTGTGCCCCCCTAACACTTAAATGCAGAAGCCCATTGATGTGCCTATCCTACTTTCAGGAGCTCATCCTACATCTAAATCACATGTGTGCATAAAGACATATAAACAAACTCACTGCAGCATTGTTTGTAATTGCAAAGGGCTGGGATGAACCTAAATCAGGAAGAGCACGGTTAAATAAATTATGGTGCACCGGAATTCTATACACAAGTATACTATGTGGCTGTTAAAAATAATGAGACAGCTGTCTACATAATGATCTCCAAGATATAGTATGTGATAAAGGCAAAAAAAAAAAAAAGAGCAACTGTGTGCGGTATGCTACCACTGGAGTGGAAACAGAGAAACTGAGCAAATGTGCTTATCCTTGCCTGCGGTTTCCTCTGGAAGGGCATGGGAGAGCCTGGCTGTCTGTGGGGAGGTAACAGGGCAGGGCAGGAAAGCAGACTCCATGTGTGTGCATTACCTATTCCAATTAATAATTAACAATTTTTAAAAAATGGTTGGGCCTTGGATACAAACCTAACACAAATAATATCTCTAGGGAGGGGGGGGAAACAAATTAAACAGTGAGACCGGGAGGGAGGCTGACTCTTTCCTGTGGTCCAGCGCCACGCAGGGTCTGACGCACAGAGCGGAGGCTCCAAAGTAGCTGTTGAGCAGATTGTTGGCGCGGATAACAGTGTGCCTTTCTCCTCTAGTCCCAAAGCTCATTCCTACTGATTGATTGCCCTAAGGACTATTGGAGGGGCCCTTGCTGGGTCCCCCCACCCCCGCCAGGGACAGCAGGGCCAAGAGGGATAGCAGGACATACCGCACAGGTACGAAGGCAGGGGGCTCCGCGTCCTTCTTGGCGTCCTTGCAAGGAGCCACGTGGCCGGGCAGGTTGAGGCCGATGTGGTAATGGACCTGAATGAGCAGGGCCAGCAGCAGCTGCGGGTAGATGCGCCTCACGCGGCCGACGCAGCTGTTGACGGACAGGAGCTCGCACAGGCCGCTGGCTGCCTGGGGGCAGAGGGCAGGCCGTGAGATGTCCCGCCCGTCTCCCAGCACTCGAGACGGGCCCTGGACTGCTCCTCTGCTGTTCTCTGGCCCAGATCCTCACCCCCAACCCCAGGCCCCTGGCTCCCTGGGGAGGCCCTGCCCCAGAACGATGACAACAGTCCGCCCCGTGGGTTTGGCCCTGCATGGTGAGGTTTATGCAATCCGGGAATAATTAAGCGGAAGGATCCCTTCCTGCTACCTGAGAGAGAAAGAGTCTAGATCTCATTTTGCAAGTGAGGAGACAGACTCAGAGGGGTGAAGCCACTTGCTCAAGGTCACCCAGCCCCTTGGGGTCAGCACCCAACCTTGAACCCAGGCTTTCGGATGCCAGCCATGATGTGTTCTGCCTCTTCATTCACAGCATAGGCACATGAAACGGGAGGGGGCACCAGGCTGGCCTCTACACCCCGGGCCATTAAACCACTCCCCTCCCCATGTGGCCAGCCTTGAGCAGCAGCCTGGTTCAAGGCTGCGTGCCCTGGGGCAACTTCTCCACCTGCCCAGCCAGCTCTGGCCCTGCGTGGGCCCACCCTAACCCCTGGCCCACCAAGTCCTCGCTAACCAGCAAGTGGGCATTGGGGGTGAGGGGGCTCACAGGACCTGGTGACTCATCTGGCTCCACCACTCCCTGGTCTCTCTTTGGGCCTCCAATTCCTCCTCTGAAAAGTGGGGTTACTGATCCTCACCCACCAGCCCCACAGGAGTGCAGAGATTGAATGAGAGTGTGGAGGGGAGAATGTTTATAAATAAACGGTCACAAGCTGTGCCACTAAGACCGCAGGCAGCTAGCCAGGAGGAAAGCCTTTAACCACGAACTGAAAGAACCCATGGCACCTTCCCTTGGAGATAAGTGACTTAACGCTGGCTGGATGAGAACAATAAACAGCCATAAACTTGTATTTTACAGCCTAGGAAGCCCTTCCGTGTATGCTATCTCCTTCTTCTCAACAAGCAGGATAAACAAAGCAGGAGTTATTACTACCCATTTTACAGATCTACATACCAAGGTGAGAGAGGAGAAGTGATTGACCATTGTTACACAGTGAGGCAATGGCAGAGCTAAGACAAGCCTCTTGGACTCAAAGCCCTTGCACTCTTCAGTAGCCCAAACCTAATGACTGCATTCGAAGGACACAGTCTGTAGTGTAGAGAAAAATCGCTAGTGAAGTGCCATAGGCTCTGCTCTTGGCTCTAACCTGCTGAAACTGATTATCAGCACGTAAGATAGAAACGAGTCCAGGCTGTGTCCATGCTAAACCATGCTTCCTGAGCAAGGAGCTCAAATGAGCTACTGAAGAATACACTGACGTGCATGACTGAAGTGGATGATTGCCCAAATCAGGGAAGGCATGAGTGCTCGCGGCTTATGCATAGAAGTGGGTGCTGGAGGACAGAGGCAGGCAGCGCGGTGGGGAAGCACAGGATTTGGAGGCAGGAGATCTGGGCTTGAGTCCTGGCGCTGCCACTTGCTAGCTGTGTGACCTGGGGTAAGACGTGGAAAGTCTCTGAGCAGCAGCATCCTCCTCTGTAAATGGGATAATATTATACCACTCATTCTCCATCACTATGTCTTTGTGTATTTACTTCCCTCCACCAGAATGTCTTGTTGCCGAATCCCCAGAACCTATGAGTACACCCGGCACACAGTAGGTGCTCAATAAATATTTGTTGAATAAATAAATCAGCCCAACAAAAATTTTTTTGAGGGCCTACTGTATGCCAGGTGTGTGTGAGATGTCAGAGATATGGTGAACGAAACAGCACAGGCACTGTCTTCATGCATCTCTCAGATGAACCAAAAGATCCCACACACTATCATCAAACCATAACTGGGGTAAACTCTTCCAAGACAAAGTATGTGAAGCAAAGTACTATGTACAGATTTGTACATGCACTCTGTACTATGTACAGATTTGATCTGGTCAGGGGAATCAGGGAAGGCTTCCCTGAGGAGGTGATGCTTGAGTTGAAAGCTGAGGAATGAATAGAAGTTAGCTTAGTGGAAAGCACTTTAGGTAGAGGGAACAGCATGTGCAAAGGCCCTGTGACAAGATAGCACGGATGTGTGAAGTTCTGACAAAGACCTGTGAGGCTGGAACACAGCAGGCAAGTGGACCATGGAGTGTGGTGAGGCCGGCAAGGGGTGCAGGGCCCTGCAGCACAGGCAGGAGCACGGCGTCACCACTGCGGGCAGTGGGAGGCCATTGAGGAGGCTGAGAAGAGGAGACGTGCATGTCTCAGATTTTTTTGGCTGCAGTGCAGATCACAGGGGCAAGTGGACACGGAGGTGAGCAGGCGTGTCACCCAGCTGGCGTGGACCAGGCTGGTGGCGACAGAGGCAGAGAGAAATCCACATCTCCCACGCAGCCAGCTCCCTGCGTCAAAGCTGCCTTTGCCTTCCGAGTTCCCGGGGCCGAGCTCTGAGCCTGGCAGTGAGAAGCGCTTAAACATTTCGTGTCATCTGAATGAAAGAATATTGTCATCTCATTTATCTGTCACGGCTGCCATATGAGGCAGGTATTATTATTCCATTTACACATGTAGAGACTGAGCCCCACGTAGGTGAAGGGACTTCCCCAGGTCACAAAATAGTAGCGTAGCAAAGCCATTAGTCTAGGATTTACACCAAGTTCTGTGAGTGCAAGTCGCTCTGCTTCCACCATCCCAGACTATGCAATCGCCACAGGTAGCCCTGCTGTCCCTGTCGCAAACGAGAGCCAGAGCAGGAGACTTGCCCAAGGCCACACAAGTAGTGGGCAGACTGGGGCTTGGGAGGAAGGGCAGGATGGACGGTGAAGGGGACGGGCAGGCTGGGTCCTCACCGCTAGGGGCACAATGGAGGCCCGGCCTTTCTTGGTGACAGGCTTCTCCTTCAGGCTGGTCAGGAGCAGATCCAGGAGGTCTCGGACGTCACAGCTGGGCTTACGCAGTATCAGCTGCCTCCACATCTCCGCTCCGTTGCTGGGAGGTCGGGGTGGGGAGGGTTGGAGGTGGCCAGGGCAGCGGGGCCCACCCCAGGTGCTTTCGGGAGGGGAAGGCAAGACGCCAGTGCAATGGCACCCATGGGCACGCCAGCAAGGAATGGTCCAAAAACACTCCCCAGGAGACAGGGGGCTACAGGGATTAAAGCCCCAGTTCCCAGGTTTCCTGCCAGGTGCTTTACATACAATAATACATCACTTGGGCAAATATTAACTGAGCACCTGCTGTACGCCTGGCACTAGGTAAATCTCTGGGAAACAGATGTGAACAAGAATTCAACACATTTACGATCACTGAATTCTCACAATGACCCTCAAGGTGGGCGCTGTTATTCTCTTTTTGCAGATGCAGAACTGAGGCCCAGGGAAATGAAGTCACCAGTCCAAGACGACACAGCTAATGAGCTGCCTGTGGCCGGGCCCAATGTCTCCAAAGTCTGTTCTCGTTCTTCTAGCCAAGAAGCAAGAATTGAGACAGTCAAGCCCTTTGGGGCTAGGATCTTGCACTTGTCACATACTGTCAGAGAGTACCAGTCCTGTCCCTTAGAAACCAGTACACCAGGCAGGGAAAAGCCCCCGTGCCTGGCCACAGACACTTCTACCGTGGGGCGTTGAGAGCGCTGACAGTATGCGAAAGGGTTAAAAAACCTTTCCCCCTTCATCGGAGCTTTTGGACCTTCCATTCACTGTCTAGCTCTGTTCCCCTGGAAACGCGATAAAGATAGTATGTTAACTGTGTTTCTTAGGCAACATTGCTTATGGTAAAATTGACCTGGTGGGTAAATTGCATCTGGACTGGGAAGAACTATGAATTAACTGTAAGAACCGATGGGGACACTGTTGCATTGAGCTTCCCAGGGTGTAGTGACCCTTGTATCTGGGCATGTCCCTGTGGGAACCCTGGAGGTGAAACTGACAGAGCGATTGTAAGAAATGCTGATCCCTGCGCCATTTCAGTCAGGGCAGAGCCTGCCCCCACCCTGTGGGTCTCCTCTCCTCTCACCTGAGCCTTTACCTGGCAGGCCCGAGAGACCAGCTCCTAGACTCAGGGCCAAGATCAGGATAAGAAAGTGAAGCACTAGGGCGCAGGATTTAAGGAGGCGCTCACTCTCAGGCTCATGTGAGTGCAGACCCGACACCTGAGGGTGTCTCCTAAATGCCGTGCCTATCTGGCCTGCTGCAAGGACTGCTGCAAGGACTCCTACAAAGAGGAGCTCCGGACACTGCCCTGTCCTGCATCCTGGGTGGCTCTGATGTCGAGTGCAGCCCCTGCCAGTCCTGTGAGTCTGACTGCTTTGTGGACCCAAAAAGCAACCCCCCTGGTGGGCAGCGCAGACAGAAAGGGCTCAATTCTTGCAGCTGGGAGGAGGGGATGTTGTCAGCTGGGCCCTCACCATCCCGTCTGATGTTGGTTTCTATGGATGACACCGGCTGTCCTTATTGGCGTACACCCCATCTGCACAGCTCTGCACAACCCTTTTATATGTTCACTCAGCAACCCTCCTAAGGTGCGGATCACCCACTGCCCTGTTTCATTCATTCGAAGCAGGTGGGGAGCATTTCCTGGGCTGGGAGGCTGAGGCCAGCCATACTGACCTCTCTTGCCCACGAGCTCCCCATCTGGCCACAGCCCCTCTGCCCACCAGCCCATGAGCTCCCTGCAGGCAGTGAGCGGGGAGCGTCCTTCTGCACGGGCCAGGCCTGAGCGGGCACCCAGCACGGCTGGCTGTGTTACTGTGTCGCCCCACTCATCTGGGGTGGCACTGCAGGGCTCATTTCCTCCTTTTGCCTATAAAGGAGAACTGAAGCCCAGAGAGGGCAAGGGGGCTACCACAGACCACACAGCAGCTGCGGACAGAGTCAGGACCAACACTCAGGCCCCCTTTATATGGCATCACTAAAGAGCTCTGGCCTTGGAGTCAGTCAGACCTGAGCTTAGGTCCTTGTTCTGTTGCTTATTCAATCAGTACCTAGGGCAAGAAACTTTCCCTGAGCCTCAGTTTCCTCATCTGTAGAATGGGACTGTTGTGAGAATGAGAGAATACATTATTGCTCAGCACTGACACCCAACAGTGCTCAGGAAGTGCTTTGTGGTCATAGTGAGTGCCACAGATCATGGAAGAGGGGCCATCTGGGAGGGCAACAGATTCTCTGGGCAGAAGTGGGGGTGGGGGTCCCCGCCCAGGATGGGGCCTGCTTCAACCCTCTGGCGTGTAGCAGCTGGGAACTCCCCTCACTCAGTACCTGTCCAGCGGGAGGGGGCACATGAGCAGGGCCACCACGACCTCGGTCATGAAGGAGCTGGCCAGCAGGGAGACGGGCAGCAGGGCCACCTCTCGGGCCCGTGGCTCCTGGATGTGGCTCAGCTGTATGTAGATGCCCTGCATGATCTCGGGGATCTGGGACACAGCCGGGCAGCGTGAGCAAGCCACAGCCGAATGGAGAAGCCAAGGGAGGCATGGGCAGGAGGAAGGAGGTGGGGCAGGCTGGAGGACAGGGGAGAGGAGGGGAGGGAGTGCAGGAGAGCAAAGGGGAGAGAGAGAGAGGCCAGCAGAGCGCCTGCTCCTCCCTGGGAGGGAGCCAGTTTCTCTTTGCCCCCACCCCACACCCCACCAGGTCAGGTGAGCTCTCTCAGGGGTGGCAAGAGAGGAAACCCAAAAGGTTGGCACATCTAGAACTCAGCCACCACCACCTCTGCCCTGCCCCAGGGCTTAGGGGGTTCTGACAAGCTGTGTCCAGTGATGAACAGCCCCGGGGGGCTCCCGGGCCCCAGTGATGGCTCAGCCCTGCCCCCAGGAGGCCTTACCACCTCCAGCGCCCTGTGGCGGTACCACTCCAGCACCGAGCTGAGCGTGACCTCCGAGGCCAGCTGCATGATCTCCCCGGAATCCTTTCCTGGAGCCTCTGAGCCACCTTGCAGCCCTTCCAGGGCTGCCAGCAGCAGGTCCTTTACCTGCTGGGGCCCCAGGAAGTCTCCAAATTCCTGAAACAAAGGTGCAGAGATCATGACACTGATGGGCCACCAGGAGCCAGCAGGAGCCTCACCCAGAGGCACACACAACTGCCCGAGTCCCACGTGCAGAGGCTGGCAGGGGGCCAAGTTGGGACATCATGGTCCCTACACTCAGAACTGGGTGACATGCATCAGGGAGAAGGGAGTCATGGCCAGTGCTGTGGCACAGACCAGAGCAGGAGGGGCACTCAGGATAGGCAGGTGTGACCAGGGAACCTTTCTGCAAAGGGGCCTTGAGCCAGCCTGGAAAGCTGGAAGGGAGGAGAAGGCTTTCAGGGTAGATGGCACTGCCCCTCGTCCCCTCCCCCCCCGAAGGCCCTGGGCTGAGGGCAGCAGTCACCGCAATCACGCGCAGGATGTTCTGGCACGGGCTGACGGGGTTGTAGGGCCCCAGGAAACGCTTGTTGCTCTCGTACAGCTCCTTCTTGTTGGTCTCTTCCTTATCTCTGGCTCCTGCAAGAAGAGAACATGCTCAGTGAGGCCTGACCACCCTATTTTTTAAAAACTTTTTGTTAAACATAGATGTAGGAAGTACCCACATCATAAGTAGCCAGCTTGATAAGTGCTCACACAGCGAACATCCCCATGTACCCAGCACCCAGGTCAAGAAGCGGAACCTGATCAGCCCCCCAGGAACCCCTCTCGTGTGCCCCTTTCAGGCACCAACCCCTCCGCAACCCGGGGTAGCCACTATTCTGATTTCCAAACCCCTGGATAGATTTCCTTGCTTTTGAGCTTTGTATAAATGGACACGTGTGCTGTGTTACCCTTTGTATCTGGTGCCTTTCAGTTAACATGATGTGGATGAGGGTCACCCACGCAGTTGCACGTCGCATTAGTTCTCTCATTCATTCTCAGTGCTGTGTAATTCTCCATGGCGTGAATACACTACGATTATTTATCTGTTTACTTTTATGGACATTTGGGTTGTTGCCAGCTATTAAGCATCGTGCTTAATACTATGAACATTCTAGCTCGTCTTTTGGTGATTATAGCCACACATTTGTTAGGTTTATACCTAGGAGGAGAATTGCTGGGTCATAGGGTAGGGAGAGGTTCAGCTTCAGGAGACAGCACCAAGCGGATTTCCACAATGGGGAGCCAATTGTGCCCCACCAGTCGTGCGTGCTAGCATTCCCACTGCCCCACGCCAGCTCCCGCCAGCACATACCATTGTCTGTCTATTCCCCTGTTGCCATTCTGGAGGATGTGTGGCAATACCTCTTTTAAACTGCAATCCTCCTACCCTGGCAGTCCCAATCCTCACCTACTTATTTTCCTAAGTACTTGTCCATCATCTGCCTTGCCATGTGTATTACTCGTTGGTTTTTATTCATTGTCTATCTCCTGACAACAAGAAGGGAATCTCACCAAAGGAGGATTATTAATCTCTTTCCTCCACTGCTAGGTCCCCCTAGCCTGGAATGGGGCCTGGCACATGGTGGCTCCATGTTTTCTGTTGAAGGAAATGCATTTCAGACACACTTCCTGAGCCCTTCCTGTGGCCTGGCCTAGGTCCTACCTGGATCTCCTCAAGATATGCAAGACATGGGCTCAAGAGAGGGTCATTGAGGCAGAGCAATCCCACGGGCCAAGTGCATGTGCTGTTGTAAAGCAAGGAGCTTGAGACCTGGAGTCAGGCAGGCCCGGGTTTGCATCCTAGCTCTCTGCTTCCTGCCGTCGCAGGGCCCGGACAAACCACTCCCCCCTTGAGATTAGAACCTAAGACTGTGCGTTTGGCCTTGGGCTACCAGGCAAAATGCAGGATACCCAATTAAATTCAAATTTCACGTAAACAAATAATTTTTAAGTGAAAGTATATCTCAAATACACTAACAAATATTCATCATTTACCTGAAATTCAAATTTAACTGGGTGCCCTATATTTTTTATTTGCCAAATCTGGCCACCCTAATCTGGTCTATGCTATTCCTACCTCTAACGCTGATCATTAACGGGGCTTATACCACCTTCGCTCATCACTCAGGGGGCAGGAGTGACCGTGAGCCGTGGGGGAAATCTCCCAGAGACCAAATCTTAGCCCCAAATGCTGGAGATCGAGAAGAATGGGAACACCACAGATCCCAAAAGCCTGGAGGGACGGGGAAAAGGGAACTCTATTTGACAAGTGCCTATAATGTATGGTACTGAGCAGGTCTCTTTACATATACTCTTATAAAATATCTCATTTAATCTTTCAAAAAGCTTGTGAATTATATCTGAGTGTACCCTTTTCGTAGATGAGGAAATCTAGGCCCACACGAGCAAAGCACTTGCCTGAGGTCACGCCGCTTAGAAGGGCTATAGCCCGGGCTTACACCCAGGTCACTCTGCCTCCAGATCCAGGGGCGTTTAAAGCACAGTCCAAGGTCCCCTGGTTTGGGGCAGAGTTGGGACTATGGAGAAAGGAAGGAGACAAGTGACAGGTGATACTGCGCCCTCTAGGCACAGTGCCAGCGGGATACCGTTAGCCCACACTACATCACTCGCCCGCTGAAGCTGAGTCCAGGCACGTTCTCCCACCTACAGGCTGTAGCTGCTCCAGATTCTAAGGCAGGGCCTGTCCTTTGTTCACTCATTCAATCAGTATTCACTGAGCACCCACCATGTGCCAGGCCCAAGGCTAGACCTGGGGATGCAGCAGTGACCAAGACAAGACCTGCCCTACTCTCACGGGATTGCAGTCTAGTGGGGAAGACAGACAAGAAAACAGGACATCAGGGTTGACGTGTTATGGGACTGAAAATGACAGTCGCAAATTAAGCTTGGAGGGATGAGGAGAATCTCCAATAGAAGAAGGATTGCTTAAATCAAAATAGGTTTGTCTGTCCCCTCTGTGGGGACTTGGGCTTCACAGCCGTTTCCACAGTCCCCTCTGACCCTGTGATGGTCCCCCCATCCTGCACCAGTGCCTTGTCGCCAAGGCTCCAGCTGCTTTCTAGGCTGAGCAACTGCCCAGCAGCCTTGCTTCAGAGGCAGCCAATGGGCTTACGTTTTTGCAGCTCCAGGATAGTGTAGAGGATGACGATGCCGTCCAGGGCCTCCCGGCCAATCTCCTCATCAGGATCCCCGACGCGAAGGATGAGCCTCCCCAGCAGGAGCCCCAGTGCCGGGAACCCCGAGGACATCTGTTTGTGTCATAATCTTAGGGATTGAGTCTCACAGGTTTAACAATGCTCTACAGTAAGTGGTGGACGGAGCTGGGTGGTCTGGCCCGGATAGCAGAGCCCTCTGAGGATAGCAAGGGCCACCTGGGAATCCCTCAACAGGTGCACAGGCTCCTTCAGAGCTGGGAAGAGTCTCCCTATGAGCGTCCACCCCTCCCAGGGGCCACTCACAAAGAAAGGCAGAGTCAGAAGCGTGTGGTTCAATACAGAAACATTGCTGTTCACAGCCCGCGCTCGCTCATGGGCCTTCCCAGAGTTCATCCAGGGCCCCAGGGGCTGTAGGGACAAGGGCGAGACTCAGCGCTCCAGGTTAGATGCCAGCCCTGCTGCCAGGTGGCCAGGCCAGCCTTCAGCAACCAGCAGGAAGCTTCCAGAGAGGGCAAAAAGGCCATGCACCACAGCCCTCCCCCATCCTTGGGGCTTAGGGAGAGATGGGGACCAGGAGCTGAGAATAGGACTTACAGACTAGAGGGAAGAAGGAAGTCAGTACGGAGAGAGAGAAAAGGCTAGAAGAGAGACACAGTGACAAGAATGCAGAGAGCAAGATTACAGGGGCGCTGTAAGCACGCGGGGCAGCAGTGTATAGAGCAGGGGATAGGGAGAGAGGGAAGAGGCAGGAGCCTGGGGCAAGGCCTGCAAGAGGCACAGGGAGGCAGAACCCTGGCATATGATGACATCCTGAAGTCAAGTCACTCCTGGGTCCAGCTTCCACTGCTCCTGAGCCATTTTCTCTTCCCCTCCACCCTTCCCCTCTCTCCCACCCACCCCACCTCCACACCTCCAAGATGCTCTTCAGCCCAGTGGGAGTGGGGTCCTCAATAAAGAGGGCCTTGAGCAAGGTCTGCAGGGCATCCAGGGTCTGATGGTAAAGCGTCTGTGGACAGAGGACGAGCGAGTCACGAGGGGACCTCTGGGGCAGACACCAGCCCCCATGAACCCCAGTGGGGGTCGGTGGGGGAAGAGCTGCTTTCTGGTCCCACCTCTGAGACTAACCTGGTGGTACTTCCCCTCCATCGGCTACAGTTTTCTTATGGATAAATTGGAGTTATTATCCCTGCACTTCCTACCCTAAAGGGGGAGGAGGCAGAGACCCAGCGTTTACTCAGAATCTACCGTGCGTCAGATGAGTACCTGGTGATTCGCACAACTTTATCGTTTTGTCCTCAAATTGTTTTTCTCATTTCACAAATGAGGGAACACTTGTCCACGGTCACACAACAATGAAATTTCAAGCCATGAGGGGCAAACAAGAGGATGGATGGGGAAATGCTCTAGAACTAAAGAGCTAGATAAATGAGAAGGTCACTCTTCTTTCATTATCTCTGGGGAAGTACTCTGCTTCTTTTTTGAATTGCTACTCCTAGACCCAGATGGGTTTTCCAAGTTGTGCGTTAAGGAAGCCATCTCTCCTCTGCCCAGGCGCCTCATCCATTGGCCATTCCGCAGTCCCAGAATTGTCTTCCGAGTGCAGGCATTCTGCGGACTCCAGACTGAGCAGAGGCTTTGAGCTCCTCTGGGAAGACCCTCTCTTCCTTGCCTCCCCGCCTCCTGCCAGCTCCCCAAGTCTGCCTCCCAGGCTTTCATTGTCCAGGCTCCCTGACTCTGCACACACCCCGGAGCCAGTGGTCCTTGGGGTTACACCACAACCACCAAGCAAGCCTCCCTCACCGACTGCCTCCTCCTTCCCTCCCAGCTGCCGTGATGACTGTGCAGCACTGGCCTCTGCTGGCCAGGCCTGGTAGCACATGAGGGCTGCCTGCTCTTCCCAGCAGGCTGGGATGCCCTCCCTGCCTTTCCTCTGGCTCTTCTCTCAGGGCACCACCTCTGGGCCCAAAGTGCTCATGCTGCCCACGTGGCATGGTCTGGCCCCCACCCACCCTCCAGCCTCACTTCCCAGGACTCTTGCCTCGCCACCTGGGCTGCAGCCACGTGCCTCCTTGTCATCCTCGCAGTCACCATGCTGTCTCCGTCCACAGGCCTCTCCTCAGGCTGTTCCCCCTGCCTGGAATGCTTTCCCTTCTGCCACCCCCTTCAGCTATTTAGCTCTTCTTTAACCTCTCAGCTCCAGAATCACAACCCCTGACCCCCATCTAGGCCATGTCCCCCATTCCAGGCTCTTTATAGCGAGTACTTCCTGCATTTACCAGTGGTGTGATTTTGCATTTATTTGTATGATTCTTCGATAGCGTCCATCTCCCCGACCCGCGCCCCTACTGTAAGGCTCCTGTACTGAGATCGACATGGAGCAGGTACTCAGTTAACATTTGCTGAATGAAAGGATAAATGAGTGTGCCTCACCCTGGGCTGAAACCCCTCTGCCTAAACCTTCCGCACTGACCCTGGCTGTCCCCTCATCCTGCACGAAGGGTCACCTCCACCCCTCCTCCCTGAACACCCGCAGAGGACTGAAGATGTTCGCATGAGCCCCTGGAGGCTCCACTTCTCCAGGCCTCGCCCCAGTTCCCTGCGGTCTGTCCTCCTAGTGGCTCAGGCCTCCGCCGGGCCCCTCCCAATCCTGGCTGCCGCCTCTGCGTGCCAACATCTGCCCACATCCCTCTCCTAGAGCAGGGCCCAGAGTGGGCAGGACCCTCCAGACAGGGGCGCCTTCATTCCAAAGATTTATTCATTCGCCAAATATTTACTGAGTGCCTACTCAGGCCAGGAGACCTGAGTCATATTGCCCAAGGCCGTGCATCTAATGAATAGAAGGTTGAAGATTCCTATCTGCCCCCAGAACATCTGCCCTGAGGACCCCCAGCGGGGCCCCCACCTCACCTGGACAGCCTCGGCCTTGGCCTGGTCTTTCTCCTGCATGGCCTGCACAGAGGGCAGGGAGAACACACTCCGCACGCACGTGCTCACCAGCTCTGACCTCTCCTGCACGCCCAGCGCGGGCTGCTGGTGACTGCGGGAGAGGCAGAGGCAGAGGCATGAGTCGGGGGGCAGCGTGCGGCTAAGGTCGTGGGGCCGGGATGGGGCGCCTGGCTTGGGCTCAACGGCCTGACATTCAGATCCTCAGAAGGACGAGATGAGGTGGGGGCCGGGAAGGGGTGCGGGAGTCAGATGGCCCCAGTTGGGACTGGGCAAAGGTGGGGAGGAGGCATGGGAGCAGCGTTGGGGTGCAGCGGAGAGGCCCCAGGAGAGACAGGTGGTGGTGGAGGGAGAGGGGGACGGGCTGCAGAGTAGGGGAGCAGAGAGAGGGCCGTGGACACCTCAGCTGGGTCAGGGTCTCCATGGCCTGCCGGCGGACAGAGCTTGAGAGGGAATCCAGCGGCTCCTCCTGGATCTGCCTCTGGACAGAGGACCATAGAGGGGCCAATGAGGGCCAGAGCCAAGGCAGACCACCAGGGCCAAGGCTGCCCCTCCTCGCAGGGAGCAGGCCTTGGCCTAGGCAGAGCTCCCTCATCAGCCCCACGTCCTACCTGGCCTCCGGGGGCCGGAGAGCCCGCTTACCACGCAAACCCCATCCTGAGCCCTCCGCTCAAGGCCACCAAAAACACCCTACACCCTAAACAGCTGCAGCCCACATGCATGGCTCAGCAAGAATTGTTTCCATAGCAACCTCATGGCAGGAGGCATATTTGAAGCATCCAACTGTCCCAAAGCAAAAAACACCCTGTGTGGCCCTGGAAAGCTGCCTGATTCATTTTTAAATGTCCTAATTACTACTTCTTTTTTTTTCTTTTTTTGAGACAGAGTTTCACTCGGTCGCCTCAGCTAGAGATGCATTATTGTTCACTGTAACCCCAAATGCCTGAGATCAAGCAATCCTCCTGCCTCAGCCTCCCAAGTAGCTAGAACTACAGATGCATGCCACCATACCTGGCTAATTTTTTGTACTTTTTAGTAGAAACAGTGTCTCACTCTTGCTCACGGCTCAGGCTGGTCTCAAACTCCTGAGCTGAAGTGATCCTCCAGCCTTGGCCTCCCAGAGTGCTAGGATTATAGGCATGAGCCACTGTGCCTGGCCTACTTCTCACTTGATCTAGTAAGATGCCCAATAGATGAAGGATTTTTTTTTGTCTCTTTAAGGGATGCAAAGCCAAATATAATTTTAGAAACTTCAGTGGTTATCTCTGCACAATCTATTCTGGTGGTGGATAACTGAGAGGTAACTGTATTTAGCAAAATCATAAGGAAACCCTCTGATATTGCCCACCAGGAGGAATTTCTGGCAAAGTCTATATTGAGTAATAATGACTGCTGCTAGGTGCACATGGCCTTACTTATACTAACCATTGGATTGGGTCCTCCCGACAAGCCAAATCCTCCCAACAAGCCAAAGACACAGGTATTATCACACCCATTTGTGAGGTAAGAGGAGTGAGGCTAGCAGTGAAATAACTTGCCCGAACTCCCTCAGCGTAGGTGGAGGGAAGTTAGAGGTGGAGCTCAGACTCAAGCCCAGGCACGCTGCCTCCTCATCCTGCCCTCTTCCCACCTCAACTCCCCACACCCATCTCATCAGTGGGTGGACTCGGGAAATCCGCCCCCTCCCACCCCACTGCCACAGACCCACGTGTGGATCCCGCACCATCATCTTCTTCATCATGGTCTTCTTCTCTCCTTCCATGTCCAGCAGATCCTGGCTCTTCTGGAGGGTGATGATGTTCCCGACCTTGGGGCAGTCGTGGAGGGTAAAAATTCAGGGTGAGAGCCCAGCTGAACCTGGCCCTCGGGGGTCACCCACACCTACAGGCCACGGACACCTGCAGGCAAGCCAGCATCCGCTCAAGAGAAATGGAAGTTCCCACCAGGGGGACCTGGGATATGGGAAAGATTAGGGAAAATTGGGAGGGGTGGAGGCAGACAATCCCGAAGGCCAGCATTTGGAGGAGGACCCAATATGAGGGACTGCACATCCAGTCAGCTAAGGGGGGCAGGAAGGGCCTCAACACCTCAACCTGAGATTCCACCACTAGCAATACTGAGGAGCCCACTAGTATATACGAGTTGGATTAAAGCATTCTGCTGCCTGAGAGAAGGAACACAGTCACCAATGTCCAGTTAATCTCCCAGCTTCTGTTATCTTAGGCAGAAGAAGGCAAAAAAAAAAAAAAAAAGACAAACTACAAAATGAGTAAATTAACGTCATATAATAAAGAAGGAAAAACAAGGTAACCTGACGGAGAGTGTGGTGGGATGGAGATGGCCACCGTTTTCTACTCTTCCTAGCAAGATTCTCCTTGAATCTTGGCTCGTCTGACAACTTGCTTTGACAAACGGGATGCTATGGAAGGGATGCTATGCCAGTTCCTGCTTAGCACGTAAGGGCAGTGGCAGCTCCACTTTCCCCCCTGGCACCCAGCCACTGTGCTAGCTATGGAATGATGAGAGACCACGTGGAGAGAAGTCTTGGACGATAAAGGGTCATCTTGAATGTTCCAGCCCCCCCCTGAGAAATCTCTGTCTATACCATGTGGAGCAGAAGAGCCACCCAGCTAAGCCCAGTCAAACTCACAATCATGAGAAATTGGGCCCCTCTGATCATTACTCCCCTAGCAGCCAGGGCGAACTTCTAAACCACTAAGTTCAGGGTGGTTTGTTAAACAGCAATTGGTAGCTTAAATGCAAGAGTGACAGTGGAGGGATAGCTAATTTAGACCAAATGGTCAGAGAAGGCCTCTCAGAGGGGTTAACGTTTGGGCTGAGCCATAAATGACAAGAGCTAGCTGTGAAGAGCTGTCTGTCTGCCGCCCCAAACTAAAATGTAAGGTCACTAAGTATCCCTAGTGCATGAGACAGTGCCTAGCACATAGTAGTGGCTCAATAACACTTGCTGAATGACAGTGTTGGGGCTCAGAAACCAACACCCCCAAATATGGTGCCTTATCATGCTGACCGGAAGAAGCCTCGAGGTCTCTCAGACCCCACCATCCCCACTGTCTCTTCCAAAGCACAGGATGAAATTGAAGTTCCTTTATCTGCCTAAGATCCAGACCTACCAGGGAGAACAACTGCCTTTTCTCCCCCTCCCTGTACCACCGAGAATGTAACCACACCTGGACAGACCCTTTCCCTAGCAAAGAAAACTATTTACAAGATAATCTCTGTTCCCAGATCCACTCATTCTCCCTAGCAATCTTTTGTTGCCCCTAAACGGAATTCTTCTCCCCCCCACCCCCACCCCCGCCAGCTTTGCCAGGATCCGAGCCCCACTCTGTCTGTGCCCTCAGGATGGTGTGCACAAGCTTCTGGGCCCCAATGAGGGGTGGGCAGCCACTCTGTGTTTCTCCCTATGTACTTATTAACAAGTTTGTATGCCTTTTCTTCAATTAATCTGCCTTTTGTCAGTTGATTTTTCAGTGGGCCAAAGGGAAGTTTCTGCTTGGTCTCTGCAACAGCAATAAAAAAGCCTTCTTTGTGCAGGCGCCATGCTCCGTGCTGTGCATATATTACCCAACGAGGGCCTCGCTTCAACTTCATCGTGCCCATTTTATTGTTGAGAAGAACCTTCCTGGCAGAGGAAGCAAGTGCCAAAGGCCGAGGCAGGAGTGAGTCTGGCATGTGCGAGAGACAGAAAATGGCCAGTGTGCCGAGAGCACGGTGGACAACCAGAAGAGGGCCATGGGATGAGATGAGCCATGGGATGAGATGAGCCATGGGATGAGATGAGCCATGGGATGAGGACAAAGGTCCCAAAGTGCAGGGCCTCTTCATAGTCCCGTCACCCTCGCCCCTACCCCACCCTGCACTGCCCAGGGCCTGGGCTTGTCTCTGTCGCCGCTGGGGGCAGGGTGTCTCGGCCTAGGTGGATTCCCACCGCAGACTCTGCCCACCAACCAGTCTTGCCCATGCTCCGTGTGTCACACTCATGGCCGCTGCCTGGTCCGGGCTGCCCCCGCTGGCCCTCACCGAATCCTGCAGATGCTGTCCTTCCCCTGCCGGACCGGCCTTCTCCGGCCTCCCGAGCCTGCTGCATAACCCAGACCTGGGTCAGGCCTAACTGTGTCCTGAAAAAGGCCATTTCTAGCCTTTCTGTCCCTTTCAGAGCCCCTCCTACAATTCATTCAATTATATAAAAAACTTTTATTGAGCATCTACTACTGGCCAGGCACTGCCTAGATGCTGAGGATACAGCTGTGAATAACAAACCAAAATCCCCTATTGATGGAGGTTGTGTTCTCACGGGGGGTGGGGGAGGGATTGTCGAGGAACGAACAAGAAACCAGATGAATAAGTGAAGCACGTGGTGCATAGATGGTGTCGGGTACTGAGAACGGAAGAGCTGGGCAGAGACAGGACTGCCAAGGCACTGGGCTGCAGGGTGGGCGGAGCGGGGGTGTCCAGGACAGTCAGCGGGGGGTGGGCAGGAGGCATACCAGAGCCATTTTGTTGCCGTCCTCTCTCTTCTCTGGCACGTTCACCAGGCATGAAGTCACTTCATTGAAGGCTTCTGCATATCAGTTTCAATGAGGAGAGAAGCGGGTGGGTGAAGACATGGTGTACCTGGGGTGCCATAGTCCCATCTCCCCTCCCCCTCTGGACCCTCCAATCCTCACCCGCCACCCCCAGCAGCCACTTGGAGCTTTTAAAAGTGTAAATCAGCTCATGTCACCTCCCCTCCCTAAAACCCTTCAGTGGTGCCCCATTTCCTTGAGCACGAAGCTGGCATGCTTGCTGGAGCCCAGGACCTTCCAGGCTCAGCTGTACGTCCCACTGTTGTCCCCGAGCTCATGACACTCTGGCCATGCTGGCCTCCTCCCAACTTCGGGCAAGCTTCCCCTCAGGGCCTGCGCACAGGCGGTTTCCTCTACCGGGCGCTCCCAGCCATACCTCCTTGCCCCACTGGGCTCCCCTGCTCCAGCCTCTGCTCACCTGCACCTGCCACTCCTGACCGAGGCCTCTCCCACCCTTGGGTTAAGTGAGCCCCCCTCCTACCCCCTGTGGTCCTCTTGTGCCCCATCCTGTTCTCTTCTTTTAACAGTTCTCACAATTTATAACTGAACACCTATTCGTTACAGTAGGTATCTGCTGCTTCATCCCCCAAAATCTCTGCACCTTTCTTTTGGTGAAAGAGCCCCGTGTTTCCTGTAGGCTACTCTTCCCATGCAGCTCGGTGAGGCTGAATTCTGCAGTACCCACCCACCATGCCCTCTCCAAATGTGGGGGCCTGAGACCCAAGCTTAGCTAACGAGTGTCTCACGCCCCAACACATTGATTGGCCCAGGGATGGAAAACTGGCTGAGCAGGGCCAGTAAAGCCCTGTATGTAACAGGGTGGAGGGGAACACTGAAGGAGAGAGGGTCTTTCTCCTTCTGAGGCCAAGGCCGCTGTGGCCTGGGAGAACCTGCAACTTCAGGGGCATCTTGGCCACCAGCTGCTGCTGGAGGAGGCAGCCAACAGGGAGAAGCAGAGACACTCCAGCAGCTGTGAACACAGCCGGGGCCAAGATCCTAGCTTCTAAATACCATTCTCCATGACAGGAACAAAGCTCCTTGGAGAAATGGCTGATTCTGGGACTTGAGCAGGGGAAGTCCTAGATGAACCTGAGATATCTTGTACCAGACAGCAAGGAAGAGAGCTCAAAGAATGATGGGGACATGTCAAAGGGACACAAAAGCTTGCTTAAAGGGGATTCCACTGGTCAAGTGAAGAAATTTTGAGTGCCACAATAATGATAGCAGTATTACAGCCATTGAATAAACTAAGAAACCATGAGCCCATACTAATATAAATAAATAAATGGATAAATGGAAAGTTTGATGAGAAATGGCATAGTTACTTATTTCCAAGGTACCCTGCCACAAGATTTTATGACACAGGGCTAAATGGTGACTTCAGAATGGGGAACCTTGGCAGCACCATCCAACTCAAGTGGTGGAAGTGGACACCATCAGTGTGGAGCAAACCAGAGTCAGCAGCCTCCAGAGAGGACTCAGTGGCCTGAATCTCATCAAGGGGAAACGTCGGACCCAAACTCAGCCACATCCTGCAGAAACAGCTGGCCCATCATGTTCTTTCTTTTTTCTTTTTTAATGGAAACCGGGTCTTGTTCTTGCTCAGGCTGGTCTTGAACTCCTCACCTCAAGCAATCCTCCCACCTCGGCCCACCAGAGTGCTAGGATTAAAAGCATGAGCCACCATGCCTGGCCATGGCCTGTCATGTTTAAATGCATCAAGGACATGGAAGCCAAGGAAAGGCTGAGAACTGCAGGAGACAGAACAGACTAGACAGAAAAGTACAATGAGTGATTGTGACCTAGACCCTTTTGCTACAGCGAACTAGGAAAATTGGTGGCCTTTGAATGGGGCTTGAGGATTAGATGTCAGCTGTGTGCCAATATTAATTTCATGATTATAATGGTTATATTTTGTCCTTTTTTGTAAGAAAATACACTCTGATATTCAGGGGTTATGGAGTATCATTTGGCAACTTATTCTCAAATGATTGAGAGAAAAAATTGTAATACTATATTTTCAACTTTTCTATAAGTTTTTTTTAATCATTTAAAAAATATTTATTAAGCACCTACTATATGACCAGCACTGTTCTAGGTGCAGTTGATAAAAATGAGCAAAAGTCTCACTTTTATGGAACTCACATTCTAACAGAATTGGGAGGACAGATAATAATAACTAAAAAATATGCAATGTGCCAGGTGAAGAGAAATACAATGAAGACTACGGTAAGATCTAGATAATAATGCACATTACTATAAGTTTTTATTTTATTTATTTATTTATTGAGAGATGGGGTCTCGCTCCGTTGCCCAGGCTGGAGTGCAGTGGCATAGTCATAGCTCACTACAGCCTTGAACTCCTGGGCTCAAGTGATCTTCCCACCCTAGCTGGGACTACAGGCACACACCACCCACACTTGGCTACATTTTTTTTGTAGAGACAGGGTCTTGCTATGTTGCCTAGGCTGGTCTCAAACTCCTGGCATCAAGCAATCTTCTTGCTTCAGCCTCCCAAAGTACCGGGATTATAGGTGTGAGCAACCTCACCCAGCCTATTGTTCTAAAATTTAAAGAAGAATGCAAGAGAAATAGGGGCATTTTCAGAAAAAAAAAAAAATTGAAATAGCTTGCCATTAGCAGAATTCACTAAAGGATGCACTTCAGGCAGTTAATAAAAATGAACAAAATTCTTACTTTTATGGAACTCAATCCTAATTAGAAGGTTTGAGATACAATAAACGATGAAGTGAAGGAAAGAGGTTAATATTTGGGTAAATATACGACCATTGACAATATAAAATGTTTATGCAGTTTTAGAAAAAAGACAGAATTAAAAGACATTACCATCATAGCATATAAATTGGGGGAAGGGGGTCAAATAGGATGAAAGTGTCCCCAAGTCTTAAACTGTCTAGAAGGAGGATATTTGCATTGATTAATTTGCACTTTGATTAGTTAAATATGTACATTATAGCTTCTAGAGAACAACTAAAAAACTTAATACAGTATATAACTTCCACACAAGTAGAGAAGAAAAAAGGGAAGGAAAAAAAAACCCAAAAACCAAAAAGGAGGAGAAAAAGAAACCAAACAAGCAGAACAGGGAACACAAACAGAAAATAGTACATAGATACCCAAATCATCCATAATCACAAGCGTAAGTGGACAATGGTTTGGAAAACACAGTACTACAAAGACAACAAACTTACCCAAATTGTTTTTGGGTTTTTTTTTTTTTTTTTGAAGGGGGGACAGAGTCTCACTCTGTCACCAGGTTAGAGTGCCATAGCGTCAACCTAGCTCACAGCAACCTGAAATTTCTGGGCTCAAGCAATCCTCCTGCCTCAGCCTCCTGAGTAGCTGGAACTACAGGCATGTGCCACCACACCCAGCTAATTTTTCTATTTTTAGTAGAGACGGGGTCTGGCTCTTGCTCAGGCTGGTCTGGAACTCCTGACTTCGAGCGATCCTCCTGCCTCGGCCTCCCAGAGTGTTAGGATTACAGGTGTGAGCCACTATGCCCGGCCTACTTATTCAAATTGATCTATAGATTCAGTAATCTCTCAATGAAAAGCCCAGCAGGTTTTCATATGATTTTAGTTTGTGGAAATTGACAAGCTGTTTCTAGAATCTATGTGGAAAACCAAAGCACCTAGAACAGACAATTCTGAGGAAGAACAAAGTTGGAGGACTTACACTACTAAATATCAAGAGTTACTATAGTTGGGTGCAGTGTCTCACGCCTGTAATCTCAGCACTTGGAGAGGTGGAGGCCAGAGGATCATTTGAGCCCAGGGGTTCAAGACCAGCCTGGGCAACATAGCAAGACTCCCCGTCTCTTAAAAAGAGAGAGAGAGAGAGAGAGAGAGGGTTATTCTAAAACCTAGTAATTAAGACATCAGTTAAGGATAGACAAATAATTAAAGGAACGGAAAGAGTCCAGAAATAAACCTACACATATATAGTCACTTGATTTACATCAAAGTTGACACCGCAGTTCAGTGGGGAAAGCATGGTCTTTTCTATAAATGATCTGGACCAATTAGACATCCATATAGGGGGAAAATATGAACCTTAAGCCCCTCTCTCACACTGTTTTCCAAAATTAATACAAGATGTGCTTACTTCAACAGCACATATACTAAAATTGGAACAATACAGATAAGATTGGCATGGGCCCTGCACAAGGATGACATGAAAATTTGTGAAGTGTTCCATACTTTAAAAAAATACAATATGCATCATAAACGTCATATGAAAGACAAAACAATAAAGCTCTTAGAAGTATAAGGAACTATTTTTCAAAATCATTGAGTACGCAAAGATTTCTTAAGCAGGAAACAAAAAGCAATAGCCAAAACAAACAAACAAAAAAGATAAATTGAGTTCCTTTAAAATTAGCAACTTCTGTTTCTCAAAAGCCTGATCAAGCCATAGACTTGGAAAGAACAGTCAAAATACATACATCTGATGTCAAGAGTGAAAGCTCTTGCCGGCGCGTGGCCTCACGCTGTAATCCTAGCACTATGGGAGGCCAAAGTGGGCAGATCCTTTGAGCTCAGGAGTTCGAGACCAGCCTGAACAAGAGCCAGACCCCATCTCTATTATAAATAGAAAGAAATGAATTGGCCAACTAATATATATAGAAAAAATAGCCGGGCATGGTGGCACATGCCTGTAGTCCCAGCTACTGGGGAGGCTGAGGGCAGCAGGATCGCTTGAGCCCAGGAGTTTGAGGCTGCTGTGAGCTAGGCTGACACCAGGGCACTCTAGCCTGGGCAACAGAGTGAGGCTCTGTCTCAAAAAAACAAAAAAAGAGTAAAGCTCTTGCCCCTCTAACATTTGCTGAAAAACCACTGACATGAGGCAGATTGATTAAGAAGAGGAAAAAGTTACAAGTTTATTTTAATGTGTGCACAGAGGAACCCTCAGAATGAAGACTCAGCTCCCCAGCGGGGTTCAGAAGTGGGGTTATACGCCTTGCCGGTGAAAT